CATGCCTTATTTTGGTTCAATCAATTGCATATTTAGGAGTGAATTATGCTTTATTTTGCCAAGCAATTATAATGCTCCCAAGTTCTAACATGATTGCTTTGTAACCAATCCATATTTTTTTTTTTTTTTTATGTGCCACCAACATCTCCATGATAATTGCAAATTTTTTATTGTCCAAAAATATCATGTTAAAGCATATGATTAATTCATGCTTGAATCTTTGATTTTATCGATCATAATTCAAGATTTTAATTGATTTTTTTATCATTAAGCTTTAATCCAAATTGAAATTAAAGTTATAGATTATTGCTATTCCAATTTCAACATCATTGTATAGCATTTTCTTGAATGAAGCTCAAGTCCAAATTGAGTTCATCCAAACTCATTTCTTTGAGTTCAAAGCTTATAAAGTTCAAGCATGGAGGCCAATTTGAGCTCTGTCTAATAATTAGTTCATTTGTGTTTAAATCCTTGTTGCTCAACATTTATTTAGGCTCAAATTTAATTTAATTTCAATTTGAATTTTTATTCAATTAATCTCAATCTTGTTAAAGGTTCACAAGTTCAAGTTCTAGTCCATGTCCCCTTTTTTTTTGTCCAGTCCTTGAATCTTTCAGTCAAAATTTCGGCAGCCTCCCGGCGTCTCCCCGTTTAGGGGAAAAACTACGGAAAAACTGGGCCTCCCGCCACGCTAGAGAAAAGCGTGTACGATAGGTGGCCCTCGTATGAGGACACCGCGGCCGTTGTAATCGTCGCCCCCCCCACCACGCCAGAGAAAGGCGTGTATGGGTCTTCGGTACCTGTTGCAAAAGAGAACAGTTGTTTCCGCGGAGCGGGTACTATATAAAAAAAGTTGTTTCCCCGCGAGCGAGTACTTATGAATATCCCGATCTCGTCTGTAGGTGTCGCACGGGTTCCCATCCCACCACGCTAGAGAAAAGCGTGTATAGGCGTTTTCCGGTGCGCCCGAACGCGAGAATATGATTTTGAAACCGAGAGGCTCTCTCCTACCTTGTCGTAGGTGTCGCGCCCGGTTCCCCTCCCACCACGCTAGAGAAAAGCGTGTATAGGCAGACCACCGACTCGACACGCATGCCAAGGTAGGAAAGAGAACAAGGGTTCGAAAATAAGAGAGCTTTTTTTTTTCTTTTTCTCTTCTTTTTCTTCTTCTTTTTTCTTTTTTTTTTTACATAAGGACTCATACATACACAGATATACATACTAATGCACATTTATAAACTCAATGAAATTAGCTGAAGAAATAATAAATAACTATGAGATATGGATGGAAAAGAACATTCAACTGTTTGGGCTCTTCCTCTTTTTCTTTTGTTTGCTTTGCCATTTTCTCATATTTTCTTAATGGAATTCTTGTCGATCAAGCAATGAGTACCTTTTCTGAAGATAAAAATCATGTAAATTAGAACACCTGCAAATAAAATATCTCATTTATTTGACAGAAACATAGGTTTCTTTTCCATGTCAATGCTGCATGGATAAATCAATCCAATAATGCATTAATTTGAAGTAATCAAATCTAAAATCTTGCTGAATGCTTCATCTTTCCTATATTTCATGTTTCTGCGGTGAATTCCTTCCTACATCATAAGCTCTCATTTTATTCCTATTAAGTCTGCAAGATCTTCCACTAAATGCAGATTCATCTTGCCCAACAGTCCTTTCCAAACGTACAGGAGAATGAACTGCTCTCATTGATAAAAGAAAGGGAATTTGCTTTTCCATCACCTACCTCATTATAATTCTTTGAGATTTCCTTTCTTCCTATCATAAGCAGATTCTCCTCAACCATTTGCCGATATTGACGTGCTGCATGCTATCTCAGAATTTCTCCTTTAGAAGCCGCATATCTTACCATGATTCAACTGCAGCACTGGCGAACTGCATTTCTCTCCTCAATTCAAGACACGGTGTTGCACGAGCCTCTGTTCCTCAAGCTCTTTCGCATTGGCACAAGCTGCACCAAAGACAAGTAAACTCATTTGGTTTATCAATTGAGATCCTTCAATCTCAGCAAGTATCTTCTCTACTTGCTCCAGAGTTTTCCACGAGCCAATGCAGCATCAAAGCATTGTAGTGGAGAGGTACGGCCCAATTCCAGCAGTAACATCAACCTCAAGGACTACAACGTTGTAAGTGAAAAATGGGAGATGACTTCGGTTGAGGCAGTGGGTGTGTGATCCTTTGGGAAACAGGAGGAGGGGAAGAAGGTAGCAAGGAGTCCTTTGTAGATCGTGATGTGGAGTGGGATGTCCATGAAGTTGAGATCTACTGAAGTGCTCTATGTCGTCGTGGAGTTTTGAGCCGATGAAGGATTCGCCAGATTTGATGACGGAGCAGGTTGAAGCCTCATGACGGAAGCTACACGTGAGCAGATCATGTAATCACAACGTGCCGCTTGTAATTCTGAAGGAAGAGGTAAGGACGGAAAGGCTCGGCGTCGTAACGCAGGCTTGTTTCGTCGTAACGCAGGCCTTTAATATCAATATTTGAATTGCATAGAAATTCCCCACCATCTCGGATGATCCAAATTCATTAATAAAATAATATTCTGAATGTAGACGATGTTCCGGACGCAATAACCTGTCCGTTTGTTCGATTTGAAATGTTTTTGGCGCGACATTGAGGGCCAAATTCCTCGATATGCGTGTTATTACCTTGGGATCCATATCACCATTACGATTGATCCCAATTATTCACAAAAGATATATATTTTGAATGTCGAGGACATTCCGGACGCAATGGAGCTGTCTGTTTATCAATCGACTTCATCCGCGCGTCTTCGAGGCCTGATTTCCTTGAAATGCGTATTGTCTCGAAATTCATGTCACTCATTAGATGATCCAAATTAAACAAATAAAATACAGTTTTCATAGGTTGGCACACTTCCGGACGCAACGATGAAGTTGTTAATCGATCCGGGATCATTTGATCATCTGCGCGCTTTAATTTCGGGTGTCGGTCGTCCCTTTTGATCGATCTCGTCCGATTCAATTGTGAGGGCCTCGACCCAAGCAGAGTTCAGTGTCCTGATCGCAACGCCATTATCTGTTTGTCAATTGGAATCATTTGACCTTTAAGTGACATGTGGCGCTAAGGCGCGTAATGTTTTAATTCACCAATTAGGGTCCTTTATCGGCGTAGTTTGAGGTATAGAGGTCAACAAGGGTATTGCTGATGTCCCGGTCGCATGGTGTAGTCCGTTTTGTGATCAGAGGTCGTTTGGGCGCAACGAGGCTTAATTTCCTCGAAATGCGTGTATTTGCAACATATTTGAATCGTCTTTGAAATTTACGAACGCATCATCAAACGATCCAATTTGAATAAATAAAATCTAGAATATGAATGTCGATGAATGTTCCGACGCAATGGCGTTGTCCGTTGTCGATTAGACGTCATTCGGTATTTTTAGGCCTTGTTTCCGTCGTAACGCAGGCCTTTATATCATATTTGAATTGCATAGAAATTCGCCACCATCTCGGATGATCCAAATTCATTAAATAAAATATATTTTCTGAATGTTGACGACGTTCCGGACGTAATGGCGCTGTCTGTTTGTTTGATCGGACATCGTCGAGCATCTTCGAGGCCTTGTTTCCGTCGTAACGCAGGCCTTCGCATCATGTTTTAGCTGCCTTGAAATTTTTTAACACTTCAGATGATCCAAATTAATTAAATAAAATGTATATTCTGAATGTCGGGGATGTTCCGGACACAATGACGCTGTCCGTTCATCAATCATATATCATTTAGGCGACGACGAGGCTTAGTTCTCTCGTAATGCGTGCCTTTGTAACATATCTGAGTCGTTCTTTGAAACTTACGACACCACCCCAAATGATCCAATTTAATCAAATAAGATGTAGACTTTTAATGTTGACAACGTTCCGGACGCAACGACGTCATCCGTTCTGCGATCGGACGTCATTTCGCCACCGATGAGGCTAATTTTTCTTCATAGCGCGCACCTTCGCCTCAAATTTGAACTGCCCTTTGATATTTACGACACCACCTCAAATGATTCAATTTAATAAAATAAGATGTAGACTCTTAATGGCGACGACGTTCCGGACGCGATGGTGCCATCCGTTTGGTAATCGGACGTCATGTCGTCTCCGTAGAGGTGAATTTCCGCAATATGCGCGTCATTGCATTATATTGGGATTGCTCGAGATATGTGCCACAATATGGGGTTCAAATTGAATAACAAAATTGCAGTTTTTAGAGGTTGACATTATTCCGGACGCAATGGTGAAGTCCGTTTGTCGATCCGACATTATTTGATCAACCTCGCGCTTTAATCTCGAGTGTCGGCCATCCCTTTTGATCGATCTCATCTGATTCAATTGCGAGGGGCCTCGACCCAGCAGAGTTCAGTGTCCTGATCACAACGATACTATCCATTCGGTAGTTGGAGGTCATTTGGCCTTTCAGTGATATATGACGCCAAAGTATAACGCTTTATTTATCAGTTTGAGGTTCTTTCTCGCGGGGTGTGAGGTATAGGGGTCAAACAGTCGAATCCGAGAATCCGAACCCGACCGTTTTGAAATCGCGTCAGGTCTAACCGAAATTTTCAGGTTGGATTCGAGTCGGGTTTTTCGTGTTGTGTCAAATATTGACCCCCTAACTATGCGTGTCTACTGGGCATCAGATCTACAACTTTAGATGATTTAATCATTCAGATTATATAGTATTGTTCGTAGTTCAGATCTGAACCTGAGAATTGATTGACTAACTTAATATTCATGATCAAATCAAATTACTAAACAAATAGAAAGAACGAGTTCTTTTTCTCTAAAACAATACGATATTCTTAAAAACTAGGATTCAGTGAATACATTAGCTAAAAAAAGGAACGCCTTCAACATGTTTCTTCAAATTTGAACTGAAGAAAATGGTTGAAGGAAAAATACACTAAATCAAAGCCAATATGGCAATGGAAGCTATTCCCTCCAGCCAAAATGGGAGGACTGCTGTCACTACGCTATTTCCAATGTGGCACTGCTTGGAGATGAACCTGACATGAAAAAGAAGGAAACATTTAGTATCATTATCATTTTGTTTGAATTTCTTTCAATTGTTGGTCTTTCCTTATCAATTAATAACATCACAAAATCAAAATTCTAGAACATTATTTCAGTAAATAGTAAAATTTAGATGTTAAATATATAAAAAAAGAATATGAATATTAAACTACTATAAATAGATTGGGTAGAATGAATATAAAAATCTCATTATAGTCATGAAAATGTAAGCAAATATACTTATCTCAAGATATGAATCTTGCAATTAATGTTTATTCACATAACAAAGTTGAGTAACGATTTGCAGCACAAATTTTGTTTTTTTAATTTTTGTACTAAAACTCCATTTTCAGAAGTAATAAAAAAGCCGTCCCAAACGAAGCCTAAATATGCATATATAGTTGTGCTTTTTCAATATGGTGATTTAAGGATCTCTTTGGGATCGTTATAATTTTTTGTAAAGTTGTTTCGAAAAAAACAACTTTTTTGACAATTACTGTGAAAAGTAGTTTCATAGCCTAAAAATTTATTGAAAGTAGTGAATAAGCAGTGGCCAAACAAAAACTATAACGCTCTCTGAAAAAATAAAATAAGCTTCGTTTGGAACAACCTTTTTGTTGTTTTCTAAAACAACTTTCTAGTACAAAAGGATGATTGTAAAGTTGTTGTGAAAAAAGTAATTTTTTTGACAATTATTTTGTAAAGTATTTTCATAGCAAAAAAATTATTGAAAGTAGTGAAGAAGCAACGGTCAAACAAAAACTATAATGCGCTCTGAAAAAGCAAAATAGTAAGAAATTAAGGCTTCGTTTGAGACAATATTTTTGTTGTTTTCTAAAACAGCTTTCTACTACAAAAATTTCTTAAATTAGAAATATTTATACTAGAAAATCGTTTTAGAAAGCAGTACAAAGCTATCCCAAACAAAGCTTAAAGCTGTTCAAACGAAGCCTAGTGTTTACTTTTTTAACGGAAAAAATTACTTAACAGAGTTAAGGTGCATATAGCATAAGTATATAATATGATCACAAATTAAATATCATTTGCTTAAATTTACTTCCTAAATTAGTTAAAAAACAATTTATTCTTTCTTTAGCATCACAAAATATTCTTAATTTTTCTCTATATAGATTTAAAAATGATTACAAAAATATTTCATTATAAATTTCACAAAAAAGAATAAGTAACATACCCTTTCCCTTTGCAGGAGCCGAAGCTTTCGTTGGTCGAGGCGTTGGAGGTGGTGAAGGAGAACGTGTGGGCCAATCTACATAGAGAAAATTATAAATTATTTCAAAATTTGAAATTTTAATGAAGATGAATCACAATTTCGGAATTTCCTCAGCTATTGGATTCCAATTACGCTGCGTTATTAAAAAGAACTAAAGAATTGCAAAAGATTAAAAAACCCTAAACCAAATTACCGCCGCTGCCGCCGCCGGAACCTCTGCACTTGCCGATATCCGGCACATCGCCGCCGCAGCTCCGCGGAAGAATCAATGCTTCCTCCTGCGTTAAATTGAGCGCATTCAAAATGGGTTCTCCGTAGAATACGGCGCAGAGACACGCCGCGCCTCTCTGTATGGCGCTCAGCAGCGGCAAGCAGCACATCGCCGGAGGCTTCGACATGCGCAGGTGTGGCTGGCAAGCCAGCAGCTCCTTCACGCACGGCAAATCTGCCGCCTCTTCGTTGTCGGCGATCGCCGGAGGCCATGAAGGGGAAGCAAGGGAAATGAGAAGGAGAAATGGGAGGAAGAGATTTGAACCCATGGCCTGATGCTTCCGAAATGAGACGGTTACGGACGTGAAGGTCGGGACTTTTGTTGAGCACCTGAGCTCAATGGCTTACACCCTATTTTACCAAAAACCCCTCCTACAGGAACTCATAGTTAACTTTCAGAAGGGTATATTCGTCATATAAAAATAGAATAACTAACTCCGACGTTAAGGCGGGCACTGACTGTAGTCGGGTAGTCGGGGGTGGTTGTTAGCTTCACGAATTTTGGCGCCAAAAGGAAATTATGGTGATAATTACTAAATTGCCATCTAAAATTGCATGTGATCATATATAACTTTCTTAATTTTTATTCTAGTAATTAAATTATATTTCATATACTCCACAATCTTGATTGAAAATGTAATAAAATACACTCCTAAGGTTATATGTGACAAACATACTTTGCATAAAAATTTGTTAAAAATGTCAATCTCATTCTCTTACGACCGACCTACGAATATCATTAATACTGGCCTTCGACAACTTCCGAGTAGATATAGAGGAGAAAACTTCCTGTATATTGTCGAATGCTAATGATAGCTCCATCAATTTAGTGATCGAAGTATATACATAGCAAATTTATCGTTTGTAAACAGTTTAGCGGTGTAATATTTTGGGGTTGTATTATTGGCTTCGTAAATAATTAATTGATGTAATTGGAGTTATTAGATGCTTCCGTTTATGTAGTAAATATAATGATGTTGAATATTTTATATAAATATTCAAATAATGAAAATTTTCATATGTTAAGCAAAAAAAATGTTACGTTTATTTGAGTGGCACTTTAAAATACTGATAAGGAGTATTGTGGGGTGTTACATGACTACCTGCAAGGTATGTGCTGTCATTGATTATGTAAGGAAGGAGATACAACATGCATACGATATATTTTATTTCGATTCATTGAAAAATATATAAATTCCACGTCAGCTTATCACTTAAGAAACCTTTCAAATATCTCGAATATGATATACGTAAAGGCTTCTTCAAGCCATTTGAAGGAGTCATTCGTTCCCTTTCTACTTTGTTATCCGTATGTCAAGTTCTCTGCTCAATAATTTGAATCATATCCGTTATCGATTCAATCGCATCACAAACTAACCTAAACCTAATTTTCTCAAAAAAAAAAAAGTCTCATATATAAATAATTAACAAAATAACATGTAAGGATATATGACCATGCATGAAGCCAAAAGAGAATTGTTGGTATCATTTTCTTACAATTACTATCATAACAAAATAACATGTAAAATTATCAAAATGAGGTATCTCACAAGACCATATGTGTATAATACTTTTTTTAGAAAATTAAACAATATTCGTTAAATAATTAATTTAATAAATACTTTAAAAAGTCAGCCTTAAAAAATAATATTTTCATATTATTAGATGGATATCTTATGTGCATCATTTTACTTAAAAAAAGATCACACAAAATTTTATTATCACAAAATCTCACCATTCATGACGCAATACAAACAAATTTAAAATAGTTTCCAAATAATTTTTGTATGTTCAATTTAGCCTTATAGTGTTAAGATTTCCTAATTTAGTTCATCGACTATACAAAATTGATTCAAAATAGTCCCAACATGAGTAAAAATTATTATGTGCGGACACCGGATGTCATCTGAAAGCGAATCAGAGCGCGTCAAGTCACCCTTTTGCTATGTATCGCTGTGTACCGGGTGAGACGTGGCACGCTCTGATTTGCCTCCGGACGATCTAGTATCCGCACAGAATAATCTCTTTAACATGGGGGACTATTTTAAATCAATTTATATTATCAAATGAATAAATTCGAACAACATTGTACTCTAAGATTAAAATGTCCATATACAAATAATAAGAAGCCTATTTTAAAATTTAACTCTGAATCAATAGTATTCTGTAGCAGTAAGCCTATATATATAATATATAAGGAGCGTGGGATATTGGTTCGACTCAATCTGACAGAGAGGCGGATGGCTCCTTCAGCGGCCAAACTGTGCGATTGAGCCGCCCCAACATCTCATCGCCAATATATAATAATGGCAGAATAAAAGATTAAGCGGAGAAAGAGAAGAAAATATTAGTTTTCCCAAACAGAAAACAGTAAAGCTCTAAGCTTTCCTGCTACTGTTTCATCCCAATCTCAGAACCGACATGAAGAAGACTCATTATCCTCCTTCTTCTTCTTCTCCTTCTTCTCCTTCTCCTTCTTCTGTAAGTGAGAGAGAGAGAGAGAGAGAGAGAGAGAGAGAGAGAGAGATGGTTTAATGTGTTGGAGGGATTCTATATACGATCATTTACAGATATAAATAGGCAATTAATCATCTCTCCAACGTCGGAGGAAGGCAACGTCTAGAAACCGGCAAACCATACTGTGCCCCACACGCAATCTGAAAACTATTAATATAAATTAGTGAGATTGTTAATTGTAGATAAAAAATGTTTAAAATCCCAACTTTAATAAATAAAGGGTTTACAAGAAACAACACAATCTTTATGTGAAAATTTTGAAAAAGGGAAAATTGATTTAGCAGAGTTGAAATGATTTCACTAGTATTATAGTTAGATGAAAGTATAATTGAGAAATGATGGTTAAGAGATTATAATCGAGCGACGATGGTTAGAGAGTCATAGTCAGGAGAAGGTAATCAAAGTATTGTAGATGGGTGATGGTGTTGGAAGGACCATATAGTTGACCAGTGGTGGTCGGAATACTATAGTCATGATAAGGTAGTTACAAACAGTAATGGGTGATAATAGTTTGAGGATCATAACTGGGCGATGATAGTTCGAGGATCATAGTTTGGCATTGATGATGGTGGTTAGAGTATGGCGATCAAGGCATGATGGTCAGGAGGTCGTATTCAAGCTATGTTAGTTAAAGGATTGTGGTAGGATTGAAGGTGGTCGGAGGACCATAATTGCAAAAAGGAGTCTGAAGAATGACAATCGCGAGATAATGGTCAGAGGATCATGATTGTGTAATGATGGTTCGGCGATAACAATAGGGTAATAGCCTAATGGCAACAGACGAGCAATGGTCCAATGCTTTTAATCGAGTGGTGGCCCAAAGGCAACAATCAAAAGATGGTTAGATGGCCATGATTTGGTGGAGCTTTGAAATTCTTTAAGTCTTTGAACCTTCTTGAATCTAACAATAGTAGTCAATTTCATAAAAAGAGTGGAGGTCTGTTTATAATTTTTTAGAGTGACATGCTCTATAAATATAACTAAAATCATGAATATATTCATATCATACGACCCATGTTAATTCCCTTATCATAGATACCTTTCTAGCATTTAATTACCTTAATGATGTTGAAATTAGTCGATTTTAAGTTCACTCGGTTCATCTATTCGAGAAGCTCATCTATTCGAGAAGCTCAAACACGTGTAGTATTTTTATGAAATTTTTGTAACAATTTTTTTACAAAATTGACCATCATAAAAGTCTAAGATTAATGCCTAAATTAAAAGAAATATTATTAATTAATAATTTTTTAAGTTAAAAATGTATATAAATTTTTTAATAATATATAAGTTTAAAATGCATTAATTAATAATATTTAAGTTATTCCTAAATAATAAGCCTTAATATGCATGCATGGCCTTTATTTTCATATAAGGAGTAGACCATGAAAGATTCCAAGAAGCCTGAACTGCAATGCGTGCCGGGCAAAGTGGAGATTAGAGCAGTCTTGGACCAGCCGGCCATTAGCGGTCTCCACACGTCTTCTTCCGTCTACACAGGAAAGAAAATATTCTCTCTCTCTCTCTCTCTCTCTCTCTCAATGAAGAAGAATGATGATTTTCTTTACACTTTTGTGTCTGAAAGCTTAAAGGCTTAAAGCTTTACTCTTTTTGTTTGGGATTAATTTGAAGACCGGCTGGATGAAGAGGAAGCCAGAGAAAACCGAGAGCAAGCAAAATCGGGAATAGAAATAAATGTATATTATTGATATCTGTGTACATACACTTGAGGCTATATATAAAGAGTACATGGGCAAGAAGTAAAAAATAATTAATACAATGTCTAATGTACATGTGAGATAACAGCCCCCAGTTGGATGGTTAATTTGTAGCGAAGCTGGTTGAAACGTGTTGGTGGTAGAGGTTTCGTGAGGATATCGGCAATCTGATATGTAGAGCTGAGATGAGAGATGAGAATTTCGCCGTTCTTGATGTGCTCGTTGATAAAATGATAGTCAATTTTTATGTGCTTAGTTCTTGCGTGAAAAACGGGGTTATTGGCGAGCGCGATGGCAGACGTATTATCGCAAGTGGATTATTGTCAGAGAGGATTGCTGAATTTGAAATTCAACGAGGAGACAATGAGCCAGAGAACGTCCGAGGTAGCGACGGATAGGGATCAGTATTCTGCTTCGGTTTATGATTTGGCAACGGTTACCTGTTTCTTTACGAACCAGGTAATGAGGGTGGAGCCCATAAAGGAGCAAATACCTGAAATGGATTTTCAGTCTTTGGAGTCGGCAGACCAATCGGCATCTGAGTAGGTGCGAAATTGGAGATCTTCGATCGTGATTGGAAGACCGAAGTGCAATGTGCCTTTAATATATCGTAAGAGCCGCTTGAGTGCTTGAAAATGTTGAACTGTCATGGCGTGCATATGTTGGCAGATGACGCTGGTAGCAAAGGCGATGTCCGACCTGGTGATAGTTAAGTACTGAAGTGATCCAGCCAATTTGTGGTAAATCTGAGGGTCAGAGTAAAATTGATCAGGAGATCGGTGATCATTTGATTTGATCGTAATAGGTGTCAGAGATGGCTTGCAATCGGAGAAACCTGCAGTGTCCAAGAGAGTTTTAGCATAATGTGTTTGATTAAGAAACCAACCTTGGAATGTAGTGAGAACTTGAATGCCAAAAAATAAGGATATGTTGGCCGGGTGTTTGAGTTTGAAGTGAGCGTTGAACTGGGACAGAAGATGCTGAACAGCGGCATTGTCGTTTCCTGTAACTAAAAGATCATCTACATAGATTAG